CATGCAGTCAGAAACTACATGCAGTCAGAAACATGCAGTCAGAACATGCAGCCTGTCACCGTCCCTGTCCCTGCCGTGCCTCGGCCGCTCGGCTTCTATCTTTCTTCGTGCAGCAGTGGGAAAAGCTATCGTGCCCTAGATGCAATCACCGACCTGATCACTGAAGCCCGCATCAACAAGGCCAGTCTGCTCGATGCACGCAAGGTAGGGTGTTTGTGCGGGGCTGAGGGTGCGTGTGTCTGTATATGTATGTCTGTATCTGTGTCTGCGTGTTTTAATGGCTTGGGCTGTGAATCTGTCTTTGTGTGTGCGTGCGCGTACATGTGTATGTATGTATGCGAAATAAAGAGTGTGAGAGAGTGTGAGAGTGTGTATGAGTATATTCAGGTGTTTTGGGGTACCCGGGTGCCAGGACCGCAGCTGCAGCACGAGTAAGGTACTGGGAAGGACGGAGGCCAGTTCAAGGGAAAAGGGTTGGGCGGCTGGCGAATAAGTGATGCAGGAAGCGCGGCTGGGAGCTGGGCAAAGGTCCAGGCGGTTGATCCTACGTCACAGCGAAGGGCTGTATGTCTTTAAGTGTGTTTAGGCGGCGTTGAACTTCCCGACGATGTGAACCAAACAAGCAACAACTAGGCAGGAATAAAAACAATCAGACAGCAAGGATGAGGAGGAAATATGGAAACAGTTGAAAAATACGAGTCAAGTCGAAATTTGCTAGTAGGCTTCAAAAACCTCCACCTTCGGGACTCTTCTCAGGTGGGCCCCGTCAGTCCCACACATGCCCCCCGTAATGCCCCATTTCTCTGGAATATGGACTTTCTTCTAGCCATAACATTTCTTTCTGTGGTGTGTGCTCTTGTTGAAGTTTAAGACGGCAAAAAATTGCTCTCACCGAGTATCGATCCCCATCGCCACCCTCCCCATGCCCCAACATGTTAATCCGCTAGGCTGCTGTTGAACTTGTCAAGTTGTTGACAACTCCCAATGGCCAGCGAAGAGCCACCACATACCGGTACGAGGATTTGAGGGGAATGGTTTGTTAGGCGGGGCTTACCTGGTACCCGGCTTACGGGGTAAATAAGCTTGGACTCTATAGGTGAATGAATACGGTTGAATAGGTGGCCAGGTAAGCGATGTGTTTGTGGGTGTGTATATGGTTTCTGGGGAGTACACGAAAAATACATGTTTTGAATAAATAAATAAAGAAATATAATATATATTTATGTTTGTGTTACCTCCCTGATATTTTTGATACTCCCCTGCAACTTAGCTTCCCCTCTCATCCGTTATCCCCTCCTCCCCACCCACCCTCCAAACCCTCCAAACACTCAGCGATTTATGTGAGCTGGGGCGCCACCTGCACCTGCCCAACTGGCACGGATCTGAGCGGCGGCACTTGTACGTGTGGTACCACTGCATGCACCGACTGCGGCTCGTCGAGGTGGAGGCGGGGCAGGCGGTCATGAGGCAGGGAGATGTGGGGGACACGGCATACTGGCTGCTAACGGGTATGTGAGGGTATATGTCTGGGAGGGGAAGGGGGGAGAGGAGGGGAAGGGGGGAGAGGAGGGGAAGGGGGGAGAGGAGGGGAAGGGGGGAGAGGAGGGGAAGGGGGGAGAGGAGGGGAAGGGGGGAGAGGAGGGGAAGGGGGGAGAGGAGGGGAAGGGGGGAGAGGAGGGGAAGGGGGGAGAGGAGGGGAAGGGGGGAGAGGAGGGGAAGCGGAGAAAACAAGGTTCTGTACGTGAAGATGCACGTGACCATATCCTTTCTTGTGTGACGGTATTTTCCCCGTGCTTGTACTGCATTTCTGGGGGTAATGAAAGTACGGCATATCTGATTCATTCACCATGCGTGATCATAAATTAGATAAAATTTATGGTCTATATCTATCTATATATAATTCTTGTATTGAATATTTATCCTACGGGATTTTTAAAGGTAGTCAAGGAGGATAGGTAGGGTAACAATCCACATCTCCTTCCGCTCCCTACCCATATGCGTGGACCATGATCACGACCCGACCACGCCGTACTGCTGGTGTACGGCACGCAGGGACAATGGAGGAGTATCGTACGGGGCCACCGTCACCGCCGCCGGCGCCGACAAAGTCCATGTCCATATCCCGTTCCATGTCGGTCAGCTTTGACCGAATGAAGTCTCTCGGCGACGGCCGAGGGACCGCGGCGGCGCCGGCGTCGGAACCGCCGTCACCTCTAATAGCTGTAGCAGCGGCGGCGGCGGCGGCGGCCGTAGCGGTTCCTTTGGGGTTTCCACAACCCTCCACACGCACCACAGCCGCCGCCGCTGGTGCGGCAGCCGCGGCGGCAAACGACAGTTCCGGGAATTCCGGCAACTGCGGTGCCGGCGGCGGCGGCGGCGGCGGCACAGCGGCCGAGGGCACTGATGCTGCGAAATCGCCGTCGCCGTCGCCGGCATCGGCGGCGGCATCGGCGGCGGAGGGTGTTTCGGCGCCCCTGTCACAGATGCCTAGCGGCAAGGAGGGCGGCTCAGGCAGCAGCTGCCGCGGCTCTCAGGACGTGTCCGGCGACGGCGGCGGCGGCGGCGGCGGCGGCGGCGTCTCCGCCTGTAGTTCCAGCGGAGACGGCGGTGGCGGCGGCGGCGGCGGCAAGGGGTCTGGCAGTTCCGGCGGCAGCCCCGGCCCCAAAGTGCGCCTCCAGGGCGGCGGCAGCGGTGGCGTGAACGAGGTGTCGACGCCGACTTTGTCGAGCGCGGGCGAGGTGGAGTTGGGGGAAATTCGCTCCGCCGTCAAGGACGTCAAGGTTAGCTACCCCCCCCTGTAGGCCGTCATGTCTTGCCGGCGCTCCTTGTTAGGCGGTTCTCCATCTCCTCCTCTGATCCTTCTTTTCCTTCCTTCTTCTTCTTCAACTCCTCCACCTCCTTCTTCTTAAACTCCTTCTCCTCTTCCTCGCCGTTATTGGCCCTTCCATCCCCACACCACTTTCCCGGCTTCGTATCAGTCCGTCCAAGCCGCCCATATCGCCCCCTTTTATCGAGGCTCGACGCGCACTCGGGGAACCCCACCGTTTCCGTTTTTGGACTGTGGCGGTTGATTTCGGTTGAGATTCCGTTTCTCATCACGTGGCTGATTTTCCGTTGGATGATTTCGAACTCCGCTTTCCCTCCCCTTCCCCCTTCCTCTCTCTCTCGCAGACGTTTGGGCGGTTAGGGCAGGAGGCCCTGCAGGGCAATCCGTACACGGTCAACGTACAGGTACGACAGAGGGTTACAAACAGGAGATTTCTTATTTTGTAAGCTGCTGCTGCCAGCGGGTCTCAAACGTATCAACCGCAAAACAAAAACGGCGGTGACGGCCCGGAGGAAACACACACTCGACAGCAGTAGTACGGGCGTACGGCAGTACGACAAACCAGGATTGCACATGATTTCTATTTCCCCCATCCACCCTTCGTACGTCGCGGCAGTTAATGTCCTTGACTTTGCATAAAACACACCCCGCCCCCTCAAGACCCCTTTTCCCCCCCCTTTCCCCCGAAACCCCCCAGTCCACAAGCCCCTGCCAACTCGCCGCCCTATCCCGCTCCGACTACCTGGCGGTTGTGGCGCTGGCGGCTAAAGAAAGCTTCGAGGGGCTCAGGGTCATGAGTGGATTGCTGGCGAACAAGTGGGGCGGGCTGGGGGAGGGGAAAATTAGGGTTTTGGGGGAACACATCCTGGTGTATGAGCTTTCCCCTCTTCTTCCCATTTTCCCCCCCTCCCCCCAG